TCCAGTCTATGCGGTCTCTCCTATAGGTCCGCACTGGTTTCTGTGTGCTGGTCACTCCAGTCTCTCCTCGGGTCTGCATTGGTCTCAGCGCTGGTCCGCGCTGGATCTCCTCCCAGGGTCCAAAATATTTTGAGATTAATCTCAAAACATTTTGAGATTCATCTTTAAAATAATACATAATATATTTTTAAATTAAGCTCATAACATTTTGAGATTAATCTCATCATATTCTTAGATTAATCTCATAATTTTGCTAGTTCGACTTTATTATCATAATATTTCGACTTTTAAGTCAACATTTTATAACTTTATTCTCAGTCTGGTAAAAGAATAAAAAAGGGTGACTTTTGCTCCGTGTAAAGGCCTGTTGCTGTTTCCTCTGCCGTCTGCACACGGCCCTGCAGTCCCTTATATGGGCATTAGTGGGCGGTTACTTATGCTAAGTACCTATGCTAATGAAGCACCTGGCACGCGCGCTCTACTTACGAGGAAATGGGATTCATCAATCTGAGAGAACAGCTGCGAACAATTCAGCGGCTTACGAGTGCGTTGATGAATCCCACGTGGGGACTTCTTAGAAATCTACTTAAGGACAACTTGAGAAGAAAGTTGAGTAGTTTCTTACAAAGTTATTCGTGAATGAGGCCCAATGTCTGGAGTGAGAAAGAGAGGTCCGTTAAAATCTCCTTTTTGCAGCGGAGGCGAGTGTAACGCATCATGGACCTGAAGGGCAGAGAGATGTGTCGGAGCGAGCTGTTACTATGTTGCAGGCTCCTTTGATTTTTGGAATGTTTGAGATGAAGGTTGAAATGGTCAGGGGACGTTAAGTTGGGTGAAAAAGAGCGACCTTTGTGTAATGCTTCCACTACATCGAGATTATCACACATGACAGAGATCCTCTTTCTCTGCCACGAGTGATTCCACAGTGCGCAGCCACGACCACTGGGAATATTTCGTGTAGGGCAGAAGAGATGCTCCGGTGGAAAGTAGCGGCCACGGCCAGGCAAACCAATGGTCCTGGAAGAACCCCCAAAACCCACGGAAGGGGCAGCGTCCGTGTAGAAGCGGAGACCTGTAGGGGCAGAGACATGTCGGAGAGGGCCATTGATGTTTGCAGGCGCCCTTACGCTTAGAATCTTGGGTTGGAGTAGATAATCAGGATAGTAGGATGGTCGGGAAGCCGTGTCTCGGACCGCATGAAGGTTGAGTGAGCAGTAGTGAAACGCTTATGCAGAGAAGCCATAGAAGGCGAGCAGGAAGATGCTGCGAGGAGGGCAGACATGTACTTGGAAGATGAGCCGGAGTTCAGTGCCGCTGCAGGATGGGCAGCATGATGGGGAACCTGCGATCAGAAGAGTGAAGAATACAGGTATGGATGCGTTTGATTAGGAGTCCGATTGACGGCTCAGCGCAGCAACTCGGCCGGCTGCATCTGATAGAATCAGAAAATTAAGTATAGAGATGAAGCATGACCGCCGAAGCGACCCTGGGAGCATAGGTGCGAGTCCAGCGCAGCGCGGCATACTCAGCCGGGCTGCATCCATTAGAAGCAGGATAAGCTTCTGAGAGAGTGGGTAGCAGCAGCTGCAGCATCTGTAGATAATAACAGCAATAATCCTGTATCAAAGCCACAGCAGTAGAATGTTGTTGTAGCTGTTCAGTGTTTCAGTAAAAGAGATGCCGGTGAAGAGAGATGGCAAAGTAAACGAAGCAGCAGCAGCGGTAGCAGTATGAAGCAGCAAGCAGTAGCAGCAGCAGTTGCAGCATCCGTAGATAATAACAGCAATAATCCTGTATCAAAGCCACAGCAGTAGAATATTGTTGTAGCTGTTTAGTGTTTCAGTAGAAGGATGCGAAGTGAAGAGAGGTGTCAAAGTAAAAGAAGCAGCAGCAGCACGGCAGCAGTAGCAGTATGAAGCGGCAGCGGCAGCAATAGCAGCAGTAGCAGCAGTAGCGGTAGCAGTATGACGCAGCAGAAGCAGCATTAGCAGGAGCAGTAGCACCACAATGCGATTCATACGAACAACAGACGTGTCACGCCAGTGTGCGCCGCTTGTCTCTGTGAGCCAGGTTACATACGTGTCTGAAAGAGCCGAGCCGTAGAGACAGGTGCAGCCTGGGAGCCCGCGGAGCGGCAGCGGCAGGAACAGCAGCAGCGGCACATGTAGTAGCAGGAGCAGCAGGAGCAGGCAGCAGCAGGCAGCAGCGGGAACAGGCATCAGCGGGATCAGGCATCAGTAGGAACGGCAGCAGGGACCGGCAGCAGCGGCGGTCAGAGAACCATGCCCATGGTTGTTGAACAGCCTGAGGAAATAATCAACCCGAATCCGAAACATTCCCATGCGAATAACAGATGTCCCCCGGAGCCATCTTCTGCTTTGGTTATGGCAGAGACGCATGAACGATCACTTTTCCACGCGTTCATTAGCTCCAACACCAATTCACACCCATTGCAGATCACATTGGCCCTTTTTCTTTCTGCTGCACTTTCAAAATGCAACAACTGCAGTTCAGTTACCAATTTAATACTAGTGACCTAGCTCTTTAAATGCATGGCCCCTCTTTCCTCCTGCAGATAGACGGATTTAAATACATTCATTTAACAATAGTGACCTGCGAGTAATGAGATTAATGCCGTAAAGATGGCGCCGTGGCAAGAGCTCTGGTGTGTACAGTCTGGAGCACGATGGGGTAGTCTTTGCACATGTTTTCCAACGTGGTTTTACTGCAAGTGGCAGAACATGAATCTGAATTAATGCACACTGCTCCTTTTATATCCCTCAGACAATAGAGATTTGATGCCATTTAAGATGCATTGCCCCTCAGTTAGCTCAAACACGTGTGAAACGGAGCCTGCAGACCAAGCACGGGGCGAAACTGGCGCCTGTAGTCAAGTGCGTAGGGCAAAACCAGCCGCTTGCAGCCCAGACTCAGGGATTAATCCGTCCGCAGGTCAGCACGCTCACTGTACTCACATGCCAGGAGACGTGGGAAAAGCAACGGGACAACGCGGCACCGCCAAACGGAGGCAGGGACACGCACGGCACCGCCAGACCGTCTGCGCGCGGCAGCAGACCACAAGGAACGAGCAGCACAGGACCCGCGGAGGGGGCCCCGCGGAGCAGCCCGCAGAAGAGCCCGCAGAGAGAGCAGTGGAGACACGCGAATCACAGCAGGTGCAGGGACACGGAAGAGGAGCAGACCACGAGCAGCCAGACTGAGGACAGCCGGGCCACGCGCACGAGCAACACGTGAGCAGAAAGCGACCCCTCCAGAACAACGCATGCATTTGCGAACAGGAGCGTTAGCGACATGCACCTTGCAGACTTCAGAAGCTTGCGGACTTCAGAAGGCTGGGAAGTGGGTGTCTCCGGCTTTTAACTTGCTGTCCTGGTGGTTATTGGTTGATTAGATGTGGGCGTTGCTGGTATGATGAGTCGAGGATGAGCAGGCTTGTAGATCTGGGCAAGCAGCGGCCGGGTCTACCACAGTGAACTTTCGCGAAGAGCTTCATCATACGTGCTCAGAAACGAAAGTGACACTAACATGCAAAAACGAAACCTAACACTAGGGGCGCACTTCTCGGCTTGGCTTTCCTACACAGCCGCCCCCAAATGTCAGCAATGACATTTGTAACTATTTAGAAAGACAAGCAGTGGGGTCCTGGTCATCTTCTTCAATCTTCGGCAGTACTTGTCTGCTCAAATAAACAAATAAATAAATAAAAATAAATAAATAAATAAAATAGAGATCAGCCGAGCAACGGGTTGAGTGTAAGTCTTTTTGTTGACCTTCACTGATGCAGTCCGTACGCGTCCGTCGGATCCTCTGAACGTCTCAGTCACGGAGCCCACTGGCCAGAGAGCCCGCGGCAGCTGTGGGTCGACGATGAGGACAACTTGGCCTGTGTCCAGTTCCTTTGTGTCAGTTCTCCACTTCTGACGTTCTTGGAGACTCGGAAGGTAGTTCCGGATGAAAACTGTCCAAAAGCTGTCCGCCAAGATCTGACAATGTCTCTATCTCTTCCTTTTACGCCGACCGATCTTGACAGAGAACGGACCAAAACAGTCCACTCCAGTGGAATAGAATGGATGCTTGTGCTGGCGTAAACGGTTGTGTGGAAAGTTGGATGTCTTCGAGATGGTGGGCTTTGCACGCCAGTGTTGACGCTCATGGCAGGAGTGCTGGAGCTTTCTGAGAGCTTCCCTGCCTCTGAGCACCAAATACTGACGTCTCCTCTTAATCAAGACTCTCTCAGGGCCTGGATGAAGTAGCTCTTCAGGAAACGAGTCCAACTGAGACTGAGCAAGTATTATCTTCTCTGCATGGAAAACATCATTAGACTTGTCGCTGCTTGGGTTAGCCGCCCCGTTGACAACCCCTTCTTTCTGATCTATCATCCAGTATGGCATACACTTGCATTGATCGATTACCATTGTGGACAAGGACACTCACTACTTTCAGCATGACGCGCTGTGATCGGTTGGGACGGTCAAAGTAGATTTGAGTGGAGGGGATATTGACCATGAGGAAAGGACCAGAAGTGGCTTTAACTGATTCATGGAGAATGGTGAGATGTGTTTCTTTACAGACTTTGCAGGGGCGCTTCAGAGTACAGGTGTCAGCAGCATGATTTCGACCGCATCTCCAACATCGTTTGCCATCTGTGATCCACTTTATGATCTCGTTTACACCAAGTTTCTTAAAGTCATTGCAGAAGTTCAGATAATGCTCTGTGTTATCACACCACGGACAATATGGCTTGGGCTTGGAGTTAAATTGGACTTTAGATGGAGTTAAAGCGGATACTTGTGGCTTACTATCAAGCGTTAGCAGAACCGGGGTAACCTTGTCCCTTTGCTGCGCACTCCTGTAAGTCTTCATCGGCTTTTGGATTTCAGCAGTGAACGGTGATGCTGCGCGACTTGAGATCTGTTTGGCTTGAGACTTAACCTGCAACCAAGCTGCTAGATCAGGAAGAGTGTATGTTCTGTTAGTACCTGTCTGAAGGATGCCACGGGTCAGGCAGTATTCCACAAAGCTGTCACGGAGGTGTGGCGGCATCTTGCTCAGCAAGCGATCGACGTGAGAGCCACACATCAGCTCGTAACTGTTATGACCCTCAAGTGACCTTAGCATTCCAACCAATGACTGCACCGCCAGGGCGAAGGAGTCGAATGCTGCAAAGTCTCCTGGTTTGAAAGCTGGCATGCTCAATATTGTACCCAGTTCAGATTGAACGAGCTGCCGTGGTTGTCCGTACTTGTCTTGAAGAGCTTTCAAGGCCGTGGTGTAGGGCTGTGGGTGGTACATGTGAGCTTTAGCTAGTTGGAGTGCGCTAGCGTGCTTCAGCTGGCCGAGTAGTACCTGATACTTGTACTGTTCACTGAGGTGAGTGTGGATACTTAGGAGGTTGTCGAGTGCCATCTTCAGCAGGGCAAAGTCGCTTTCACGTCCACTCTCAAAATAAGGCAAAGTAGGCCTGGGAATACCGTAAGTGGAAGCAATCAGCATATCTGATCCAAATGGTGGAAGATCACGGGGCTGAAATGATGGATAGAATGGCTGGGAGACTGCTGGTTGACCTTGGACTGGCAGTGTCTGTAGTGCAGGCGGTAAAGACTGGCCATACATCGGTGGAGACAAGGCGGAGGTCATTATGGGTGCGACATTAGATTGTGTAGTCATAACCGCAGGAGGAAGCTGAGCTGCATGATTGTCCGAGTGCGACTGCATCATGAGTGTATCCGTGCTCTGTGTGTGGATAGGAGGTACATACTGCGTTGGCTGCGTGGCTTGAAGAAGGCCCGGAGCGTTGTCTGGCACAGGTGTGGGTTGTCTTGGCACAGAAGGTGGCTGAGCTGCATGTGCAGTGGAAATAGTATCCATAACAACTGATGGTCTTGTGCTTCTAGCAGACGGTGTGGATATTGGTAGCTGGAGGTAGCCTTCAGAAGTTAATGAGGGCTCTGGTGAAACAGCCTGCGCATCTGTGTTTAGGACTGAGGAGACCAGTCTAGCCATTCGCACCCTTCTCTGGGCTTCCTGCAGGCGACAATTCCTGTCCAGTTGTTTATGAAGAGTCTCCTTAGCAAGTAGTGCTTCTTCCTGTGCGCGCTGCGCCTCCTTAGCCTGGAGCTGTAAGCGCTGATACTCCATATCTGCTTGAGTGTCTTCAGCTAGTTCCTGTCTAAGGTCATCAAGCTCGATTTGACTCAACCCTTCCTCCAGAAGAGCAGACTGCGTTGAGTTGAACTGTATGTTCGGGAAATGACCTCTACTTGATCTGCCTATGCTGCGGAAAGAGCCACTACCGGATCTCCTAGATTGGCTTCTGTGTTTACTGCTGGAGCTTGAGCAGGAACTGGTTGAAGCGGCTTTAGGATGGTTGGGTCGTGGAGGGTATCCAATATCATAATCAAGTAGATACGTAGGGAGACGGCGTTCTCTCTGTGGTCTTTCCTGGAGCTCTGGGGCATCTGCAGCTTCCATACTGTGCGGTGGGGGGTGCACTCAATCCGGCTCGAAGGACTAAATGAAGTGGAGGCTCAATATTTTAACTGGCCCACTAAGGGATATACACTGGTTGAGGCGGCAACAGTATGGAAAGATTCCGGTCAGAGAATCTGGGTCCAGAGGGGGGATATTTCTCAGTCGTTGGTTTATTAACACATTCACAGTGTGTTACAATTATGTAACGTGTGTGTGTGTGTGTGTGTGTGTGTGGTCTGCAACAAAGAACAGACAAAAAATATAATGAATAAATGTACAAGCTATACACTGTACATAACTACAAGACATATATTATAATACATAACATAGACATAACAGCTCTAAATTGACACTGCAATGCTGTAAGAGCAAAATAACAGCACTTATTTGAGTGCTCCCAAAAGTTACAGACATACCCTTTACTTTGGTGCGAGACGCAGCGGCAGGCAGTCAACTACACAATTCACGTAAAATAACAATATACTAAAAATAGAATTAACTTTAAACTATGAATTAGCAGGTCAATTAACATTATAACTCTACTTCACTAATGTACGTCAGATCACTCATGCTAAGTGAGACTGAAGAAAACACGTGTTAAGTCTAAACACGGACATATGGTTATAACAGGCACATTGGTCAACTAATCACACATTGCACTTACTTTTTGATCATTTACGCACACTGACACACAGGGAACAACGTTAATGAGTCCTTAATGCACGAAAAAAGTCTCTGCAGCGCATCTAGCTGCCGTGGTTGCTCTATTAATAGCATACGTGCTCAGAAACGAAAGTGACACTAACATGCAAAAACGAAACCTAACACTAGGGGCGCACTTCTCGGCTTGGCTTTCCTACATGGCCAATCCCAAAAAACCTGAAAGAACTCAGGGATGAAAGAACTCAGGGATTTTCTGGTTATTACAGAAGATTTGTTCATGGCTATTCCAACATTATCAAACCTCTACATGAACTTACCTCCGGATATCCACCAGAAACAAAGAAACAAAGACTCTTGATCAAACCAGAACATTATTACAATCCAAAAGAGCCATTTGCTGGTCGTTGGACACCTGCATGCCAAGAAGCATTCGAAACAATAAAAAAGAAACTTACCCTTTGCACCAGTACTTGCTTTTACCGATCCCAAAACTCCTTAACTGTTACACACCGACGCCAGTTCCACCGGGCTTGGTGCTGTTCTATATCAAGAACAGGAAGGCCAGAAAAGGGTGATCGCTTATGCTAGCAGAGGCTTGTCCCAGAGTGAGTCCAGATACCCCGCCCACAAGCTGGAGTTTCTGTCCCTTAAATGGGCAGTTACTGAGAAATTCAACGACTATCTGTACGGTACCTCCTTCACAGTCGTGACCGACAGTAATCCCCTGACATACCTCCTCACTTCAGCCAAACTCGACACTACAAGTTACCAAGGCAAGGCAAGGCAAGGCAAGGCAAGGCAAGGCAAGTTTATTTGTATAGCACAATTCATACACAAGGCAACTAAAAGTGCTGAACAAGATAGCATTAAAATCATAAATAATCACAGAACATTAAAACGAAAGATAAAAATATAAAATCCCTCAGTTGTATGCACAGCTAAACAGCACCGTTTTTAACTTGGTTTTAAACATTGTCAGAGAGGAGGCCTGTCTCACATCTTCAGGAAGATTGTTCCAGATTTTAGCAGCATGAATCTGAAAAGCAGCCTCCCCATGTTTAGTTCTGACTCTGGGCACTAACAGGAGTCCAGTCCCTGTGCTCCTCAGAGTCCGGGCTGGTTCATATGGGACTAACATGTCACTAATATATTTTGGTGCGAGGCCATGGAGAGATTTGTACACAAGCAGAGCTGTTTTAAAGTCTATTCTCTGAGCCACAGGAAGCCAGTGCAGAGACCTGAGGACTGGACTAATGTGGTCGTACTTCCTGGTTCTAGTCAGGACTCGAGCTGCTGCATTTTGAATGTACTGCAGCTGTTTTACAGCCTGTTTGGACAGACCTGTGAGCAGGCCATTGCAGTAGTCTAACCTACTGGAGACAAATGCATGGATAAGAATCTCCAAGTCTGCTTTAGACACTATGTTTTTGATCCTGGCAATGTTTTTTAGATGGTAAAAAGCTGCTGATTTTACTGATTTGATGTGGCTATTAAAATTTAAGTCTGAGTCCAGTATTACCCCTAGATTTCTGACCTTGTTTGAAGGTTTAGGGAGAGAGACTGTAGATGACAGATGACGCTCTCTCTTTGTTTCTGGGGACCAAAGACAATCATTTCAGTTTTGTCTGCGTTTAGCTGAAGGAAGTTGTTTTGCATCCACTCACTGATTTGTTGGATACAGTGAAGGAGTGAGTCCACTGGTCCATGTTCTCCTGCAGTCAGTGAGACATAGATCTGAGTGTCGTCTGCATAGTTGTGATAGGAAACTTCGTTTCTGCGTATTAACTGACCTAACGGCAGCATGTAGAGATTGAACAGAAGAGGTCCCAGGATCGACCCCTGTGGGACTCCACAGGTCAGGGCCATATGATCTGAGACACAGTTTCCAATCTCCACAAAGTACTTCCTGTCTTCAAGGTAAGACCTAAACCAACTTAGGGCGGTGCCAGCGACGCCAACCCAGTCCTCTAGTCTCTGTAAGAGGATCTCATGGTCGACGGTGTCAAAGGCAGCACTCAGATCTAACAAGATTAAGATTGAGACTTTCCCTGCGTCAGTGTTCAGCCGGATATCATTTGTAACCTTGACGAGAGCAGTCTCAGTGCTGTGGTGGGGTCTAACTCTAAAGCCGGACTGAAACATATCAAATGAGTTGTTGATTATAAGAAATCTAGTAAGCTGTAGGTAGACAACTTTTTCAAGGACTTTCCCCATAAATGGAAGATTTGAGATGGGACGATAGTTGTTAAGTACCGTAGCATCCAGACTGCTCTTTTTTAGCAGGGGCCTGATGACTGCAGTTTTCAGGGCCTTTGGGAATATTCCAGAATTAAAGAAGCTATACCCGATTTTTTTTCTATTGAGTTAATAAAAATCCGTATAGCTACATACAAGTTGTATTAAATACTGTAATTTAATTGAAAATTGGAACTAATTTATTCAGCATAAGCATGAGTTTAGGCTATTCAAAGTTCTGAGATGACTTCGAGCGGGCCGCTGGCTCTCCACCACTGCCATCACTAACTGTGACAAACAGCACTGCCTCCTCACGCGCGTGCACACCACAGGTAAACACTACAGCATGGCTGCCGAAGGAGGATCAACAAAGAGAGTGGCTATACCTGCTCTGGCTGTAACTGCATATACTGCAAAACATCCCAAACGACTCAAAAGTGAGGAGGAAAAAAGGGAACAAAAGCGAAAAAGGGACTATAGAAGAAGTAGAACCCGGGTGAATATAGGTACATTGTATGCTCGCTGGAGAGAGCTTCGTGACCGCCTTGGACTACATTTGGATGCGAAACTGTCTTCTATTCTACTTGATAGGTAATTTCTAAATTGTTGTACTGTAGATTTTGTCAGCAGTGCGTTGCTTTAGTATCATATTGAATAGTGTTTGCTGTACAGCTTCCGAGAAATTGTGCTAATGCTAACGTTAGCATTCCTATCAGATCGCTACTAAAACTAAATGGCTAAAGTTCTCGTTCCTTCATACATGTTCACTGTATTTTGCGCTCATACATTCATTGTACTATGATGTTAATCAAGGGCGTAGGTTTGCGTGGGGACCATGGGGACATGTCCCCACCAATATTTGGTGAGGACTAATAAGTCCCCACCAAAATGACATGATGTCCCGGGACCCGGACGGTCCGGGACACATGTCTTCCGTTTGTGCACACGTCGCGCCTCCTCCTCGCCTCCAGAGCAACAGCAGCAGCAGCAGCACGTGACCCGTTCCGTTCTCTGCAGTGATTGGCTGTCTTCTTCAGCGCCAAACTGAAGCACTGAGCGACTGTTTAATTTTTAAAAGTTAGCCAGCGTGAAGCAAGTGTTTTTTTTCGTTCCCTGAGCGTTGTAGCACGTGAGTAATCAGAGGAAAGTACTGTAGATCTATTACCATTCAAAGCAGGCCAGTCGCAAGGGGGGTGCGAGGCCCTGTGCGAACTTGAAACGCGAGGCCCTGCCCTGACACCTTTTTCCCAGATCTCAGGAAAGTTTTTCATGTTATAATATTTGACATGAATTCAGCACCGCCTCGCGCTGTGCGTGAAGAGATCAGCACGCGCGCAGACGTGTGTCCTCGCTCCAATGCAGCATCGCACGCACACACGCACGCACCCACACACAAACTGTTACCGCGCTTGGCATTGGTATATTGGTCGCGGTCTTTTTAGCTGACATGGCTCTTTCGTCCTGTGGCAAAATGGCAGCAACTCAAAAGATTGAACCAAAAGGAGTCTTCTTCTTTTTCTAATTGTTAGATTACGGCAAAATGCGCCAAAATGGCTATGAGGCGGAGTCAATATTTGTTATTTTTTTCCTCATCAAATAACGTTTTTGCCATGCCTCCACACTCACAACATACGCTCCTTCTCCTGCTCCTCCTCCTCCACACTCTGACCACAACAACATACGCTCCTTCTCAATCTCCTCCACCACACACTCTGACCACATTTTTATGCCCAAAATCCACTGCACTCACAGTAGCATGAACGTTGGAC